ATATATATATATATATATATATATATAATCATATATCTCAAGTATTCTATATTCATCGTTAATAAGAATTTTGACATCTCAAATTAATTAAAAACAGTTTCAACTGGTTGGCAACAAATGCATATTGTATTTTATTGTTAGTGTTTAAAGAATGTTTACTACAGATTCGTAATTATGTATTTAATTCTTGAATTATCATAGGTTAAGTAATTTAATCATCTATCATATACATAACATTGTTCTCTGTGTGTCATTATTTCAGTAAATCAGTATACATATGTTAGTTAAAGGTAAATTTATCAATACTAATAATGTAATAAAATTTAAGTATTTTAATGATTTATGTTTATATTAATATAATTTCTAATATGGATATATTGTATATAATATAATATATTATAAATAATTATTATTGTTTTATTCATTTTAGATACTGTAATTAAATATTGAGGAATGGCTGAAAATACTGCTGCATCAAATGCAGAGGAAAAAGCTATTTCCTCAGCTATGACACAATGTTATGAAAATTATATTATTGTTGATGTTGGTGCCAATCTTACTAATAAAAAATATAGCAGAGATTTAGATAGTGTAATTCAAAGAGCAAAGGATGCAGGAGTACAAAAGATTATGGTAACAGGTGCAAGTATTCGTTCTAGTAAAGAGGCATTAAGATTAACCAGGATATATCCTGGTACTCTTTATTCTACTGCTGGTGTGCATCCTCATGATGCAAAATCATGGGAAAATCCTGATACTTTACAAGAACTTGAAAGCATAGCTAATAATCCAGAATGTGTAGCAATAGGAGAATGTGGTTTGGATTATAGTCGTGATTTTTCTGATCCTGAAACACAGCGTGCTGTATTTCATAAACAAGTAGAACTTGCATGTCAATTAACTAAGCCACTCGTAATACATGAAAGAGGTGCCCAAACAGATGTTTTGGAAGTTCTAAATCATTATAAAAATTGTTTACCACCAGTTTTAATTCATTCATTTATTGGAACTGCAAAGGAGGCACAAATTTATTTAGATCATGGTTTCTACTTAGGAATTACTGGATATTTATGTAAAGATAAATCTGATAGTGGAATAAGACAATTATTAGAAAAACGACTTGCACCTTTAGACAGAATATTAATAGAAACTGATGCTCCATTTATGTATCCTAATACCAGAGCCAGTAAATTACCTGTTCATGTCAAAGATGCTTTAACCGAACGATCCATGACATTTCTTCATCGTTATTGTACTTTTCAACGTAATGAACCATGTGCCTTACCAGCAATAGTAGAAATGGTAGCAGCATTTATGAAAATTGCTCCAGAAGAAGTTGCCTTAGCTACTGCTTTCAATGCTTTGAAATTATTTGGTCTAAATCAGTGATAATTATTAATTATTTTTCATTCTTAAAAAATGGTGCTACTGGGTGCTATTAATTATTTTGTTATTAATGTATTGTCTCTTTTCATGTGTAAAAGCATCACTTATATTTTATCAAAATATGTTTTTCATAATAACAATATCAATTTTTATTAACTTATCAATGAATATAATCATTGAAAGAAAAAAAATCATAAAATTTTATTTGTGCATTAATAAATATCATCTCCAATATATTTACTTATATTTACACTATATTTATATAAAAATACTCATTGATATATTAAAAATAGCATTATGTAAAATATTTTACTTATTATAATATAATAAAGATTTTGTAGAAATATATATGAAATATATAGAATCCTAAATCACACAATTTTATTGTTAATGTTATAAATATTTTCATATAAATAAATTGTTATATAAATAAAAAATTTATTGTAAATATTTCTTTAAGTTTTTGAAAAATCCAAATAACAATATAATGTTTCAAGAATAATATTAATATTTAAAATTTATAAAAAATAATCTACTTAAATATATTTTAAAATATTAATAGATATATTAAAATTATAAAAATATCACAGTATGTATAAAAAAAGATTTTTATTTATCTTGTAAAAAATTTTTTTTATTTAAGTTTATTACATTAGACATTTATTTAAAAATTTTATTAAAAACAATTTAATTATTTGAAATATTATTATATTTTAATTTAATGGCTTCCTGAAGATACAATATTCTTTTTTTATCAGACAAATTTTTCCACAAATATGGATTTATAACAAAAGGATGAAATCCTTGTAGTGTTTCTATTGCTTTTAATAATATTTTAACTGTAGGTAACATATTTCTTTTATTAATAGAATATGCTTCTATTGGAAAAGCAAAAATTAAAATTCTGTAAAAAAACCAGCATTATTTTTATCTATAATATTATATTAATTATCTTGTATATATGAAATTATTATATTTTAAATAAATATTATTAATAAAAACAAAATTGTTATTTAAAAATTAATATTTCTTACTTAATACATTCTGATAATGATGCTAAATCTTCAACAAATGTAATATTATTATAATTATTAATATTCATAAATGATCCATCTGGTTGTATGACAATAATATGATCTAAAATAAAATAATAAAAATCGAAATTTAAATTCAAATAGTTTACCATTATTAATTCCTAATTATAATAATTCATAAGCTTTTTACCAACAAATTCACCAAATTTAGTTTTTAAACTACTTTTCATGTATTCAGCACCTCCAACAACTTCTTTCAAACTTTTCATTAAATGAAGTACATTATTATTTTTATGTTCAATTTTAATTTGATTTAATTTATTTTCATCTGGCATAATTCCTTTATATTCAGGATAAAGCAGTTTAATACACCAATATAATTTTAATATAGTTAATATAGTATGCTTTTCTTTTATAATAGAATCATTATTATATAAAATAAAAACTTTTTCTATTAATTCTGGATAATAATAATTTAATGAAAGTAAATAATAAGCAATAGATACTATATTATGCATTGAATAATCTGTATGAATAACATAATTTTGTAATATTTTTCTTATAATTTTCCAATTATGTGGTACATAATCCGCAATGACAAAACCTTTGATAAATAAATCTATATATTCAATAGAATAATTTTCAATATTTGTATCTTTAAAAGATTTTTCCATTAAACAATTCAATACAGAAATATTGCTATAACGCATATTATTTAAATGCTTTAAAATAATTAAATTTTGTTGAAAAGTAATATTATTAATAATTACAGTAGAACACAGTTTATCTATAAGTGCTTCACAATAAAATTCCATTTCTCTAAAATAAGATAAAAAAATAAAAAGCAACATAAATATTATTAATTTATAGAACATAATTAATTTTAATCATATAATACTTACGAATTCATAAATTTTTTAGAAATACAATTAAGTAAATAATTAATTTCATTAAAATTTAATCTTCTGCAATAAGTTATTATTATATTTTGTACACAAAGTAGAAGTTGCTTAGAAGATAAACATAATTTTGGTAAAGTATATATTGCATTAAAAATATCTATTATATAATCTAAGTTTATTTTTTGTTTATTTTCAACTAAAATACTAATTATGTGTCTTTTTATTTTTGAATTATTGACTACAAAACAAAATTGAAGTGCTTGCAATAAATTAATACTATTTGAATTAAGTTCAATTTGAGCTTGTTCATTAAAAACATGAGACAATGCTGGAAGTAAAACTTTAATCAAAGGTGTTGTTTCGACTTTATATAACATATTATATAGAATCATTATTTGACCAACTGTCAAATCATTCAAAGAAATACGTATTAATTGAAGTAATGTTTGAATTATTACAGTATTAGATGGAACATTGAGAAATAGTAAATTTCGTAAAATATTTATGGTATCATATATGCTTAAAGATCTGACATTTTTACATATTACTTTGCATATTTGTTCAAATTCTTTAGAAGTTGTTAAATTTGTGTAATACAAGTTTTCTTTATTTTTTTTAATCTTTTGATATAAAATATCTACAGTTTTAATAGCATCTTTTATATTCATATTATTATAATTTCTTTGAATATCTTCAATATTTCCAATATTGTTATTGTTTAATATTTCGTTATTCTCCATTACTTTTTTGGTAATTAAAATATCTAAAATGCATAATATTATTAAATATTAAATAAAAAAATTAGAAATTAAATAATTAGAAAAAAATTAGAAATAATTTATTACCATTGTTTGATACTGTGCTAAAATTTGATGAAATAATTGAATTACGAAATATTATTGAATTTTTTATTAATAATTTAGCAATTTTATTCATTGTATATATTTTATATACTTATTTTAAAATAACATAAAAAAAATATATTCTAAATGATACTTATTAATATATTATACATTGTTTAATATCTCTGGAATAAAGTATTCGTATTAACCTAATCTGATATTTTTAGTATTTCATTATTGAAAATCAATTATGTATATAATGTATTGTTAAAATTTTTATTTTAATGAAATTATTAAGTATAAAATTATAAAAGTAACAATTAAAATATATAATGGTGTTTTATATATATATGAAATGAAATTTATATCATAAATATAAGTTTTCGTATCAATATGGATGTTGATAAAAGATCGAAATATATATTTTATATATTGTTTATTTTTTAAGTTTATTTTTTAGTTTTAGTGTCAATATGGATAAAAGAGCGAAATATATATTTTGTGTATTGTTTATTTTTTAAAGTAAATAAATTTTAAAAAAATGTCAAAAGAAATACAAGTATTAGAAGTAAATAAGTATATTTTATCAAAATTGTGGTATACGTCTCTTATTATTTGTCGAGAAAATAATAAAATCTTTGCTTCAAAATGTAATAATGATACTGTAGATTTTGTTGAATCAGAAGCTCTAATTACAAATTTAATGTAAGTATAAATAAAATTTTATATTTCAAATATAATTTTATATTTTATATTTCATAATTTTTAAATATATTTTATTATATATTTATTATATATTTTATTATATATTTTTTTTAGTGATTCTCAAAATGAAAATGAATATCAATGGATAATTTATATATTATTGAATAAATTTATTAATAATACAACTTCAAATATTGAAGATATAAAAAAACAAAAATGTTATATTCAAATGATATATGCTTTGCAATTATACAAAAATTTGACAATAAATTTACAACAGGTATTAAAAATGGATTTTTAAATAAATGTTATGTTGTTATATTTTATACATATATATATCATTTATTATTTATTTATTTTATTTTATATATTTCATAGGAATTATTAACAGTATACAAAAATAGTTTGCAACAGAGAAATCCAGAAATTTTTGGGAAAATACAAGATGAATATTTTATATTTTTGAAACAAAATATTTATGATAATCCTTTTGTTACATGTTGGATTCTTAATGAATTTTTATTAACTTATTCTTTATATAATAAATCAACTGATATTGTTTGTAGTTTACAGAATTTTTATTTTTCATTGATAAAAGATTTATTGGAGTTTAAATTATCTAAACAATCAATCAATAATAATTATTTTGGATCTATATTATGTATCATATCAAAAATGAATATTGTTGAATTTGACGAATCTATATTATTTGAATGGCTTTTTCCTATGATATTGAAAGCAAAAAATAATGAAGATATTGAATATGCTCTATATTCAAGAACAGATCAATATTTTTTTAAAAAATGGTGTATCTTTCTGCATGAAATTTACATAGATTCCAAATTTAATAACAATTTAAATCATGCATTGAAAATTCAAAAAATATTGTTTAATTTCACATCTACTTCTGCTCCCATTATAAATAAAAATAAACTAATAGAAAGAATAAGTAATATCAAATTACATTGGGTTATAGATATTTTGGTAAGTAATTATATAAATTTTAAATCAAATATAAATTTTAAATCAATATTGTGATATATATAAAAAATATATATATGTGATATAAATATATTTTTTTTAGAATATATGTCATATTTTAATAATAAATAAAAAATATGATGATGTTTCACTTATATTATCTTGTACATTATTAAAAGATTTTTGGCCAGTTTTATTATTTAAAGTTTTGAATAAATATTTACAAGAAGAAATATTTTCAAATAATATTCAAAAAGATGATTTCATATATGATTCAATTGAATTTCTAATATCTAGATGTAATTTTGATATATTATGTAATCCCATATTGAATGAAGTCCAAAAAATATTGCGCAAAAATATAAGAATTTTAAAATACATTTTAAATTGCATGAAAGAAAATGTTAAAGCAGAAAACTTAAATCATAATCAAGAAATAATAAAGCCAATGGATTTTCAAGATAAAATATCTATAAAATGGATATTCGATCTTTTACAACAATTTGACACTCTTTTAGTATTAAAAATGACAACTAATATATGGGAACAAAATCATGCAAAAATAAAAAATTTGTTAGAAGATATTTGTGAATCTGAAAATATCTTCAATGCATATTATATTATATTAAATGCTTTAAAAGCTATTTTATTGTATAATAATTATGATATAAATAAATCTATCATAACAAATTATTTATCTGATATGAGTTACTATATTAAAATGTTATATCCACTTAATCTACGTATACAAGTGATAGAGGATATATTCTGTTTATTTTTTTTACAATATGAAGATTTTGATCATACTTCAAAAAGTTATGATAAAATATATATGAATAATTCTCATGAAGAATCAAAATTTGAAAATAAGTGGATAAAACAACAAGGTTTTATTTGTAACAGATATGCTGTAAGAGATATGCTATTTCATTTAATAGATATTATATCAACAACAGAAATTGAATATATAGAAATGAAGAATAAAAATGAATGTATAGAAGAAATAGAACAAATTCAAAAAAATATTGTTTTTATTAATAGTGCAATAGCAGATGCTAAGTGGAGATTTGAACTTTATACAACTTCAGAGTTCATTAAAAATATTAATATGAAAGATGGAAATACAAATTACCAATTTAAATCTAAAAATAAAGTTTTAATAGATGAAAATTTAATTTCTAATCGTTCTAAAGAAAACATATATTTTTATCAAGAAGATAATATTTCAGATGAAACAAGAACAAAATCTACTAGTAGTTCTGAATTAGAATCAATACATAATAGCAAATGGCAAATATGTTCTAAAAATATAACATTAACAGATGCTATAAATGAAGATATCATTCATAAACCATTATTTATAAATTTTATGTTGGCAACTAAAGAAAGCTTAATTATTCGATGTTTATGGAAAAATGATTATATAAAAGCAGAAAATATTATAGAGGTAAATCTAAATATACACTCATATATTTCTTATTGCAGCTTCTAACTTTTCGTACATATCTTCTTCAAATTCAGTAGGTTCATATGTAAGTTCTTCTTTTTTTGGGTCTTTTTTATACACACCAGGTGGGTTATTTACATAAAATTGTTTTGCAAATAATATTCTTTTTTTTGGAAAACAAAATTTAAAAGGAAGACAACAACAACACCAGCCTATAGAATAATACATAATTATGTAATAAATTTAATATATATGAAATTTTTAAAAATATAATTTATAAACACCTTTCTGACACCATAAAGGAATTGCAAGACATATATATATTAGGAACCAAATTTTAATAATTAACCATATTTTTTGTAATGTTTTTTTAATAATAGGTTTATCTTTCTGCTGTTCATAATTGTACATTAAACAATCCATTAATGTAATATTAAATTTTTTACTTTCTTCTGTGCAATTTTTAAAATCAACTAATTTTTGTAATGCTTTCATTGTATGTTCTTCTAGTTTTTCTTCTTCAGTAATATTTAGAGTTTCATTAAATTTTTTTATTTGTTCTTCATATTCTTTTTTGAATTGATCATAATCATAGGCTTCTTCGCCTGGCTCTGTACTATCAGCATCCTTATCTTCTTCAAACATGCTATTTAGAGAAATTGACCTCCTCTTGTTTTCATCAATATTAGTTGTTTTCCAAAAGGAAGAATTATTTTGTTCATTGTCATATTTTTTTTTAAATAATTTCTTGTATAAATTTTGAACTTTTATCTTTTATTATCTGGAAATAGATAGACAAAGCTACATTTTTATCATTATATAAAATTTATCAACTATAATAGTAAATAAACACTTTATTAAGATCTTCCTTAAAACCAGCAATAAATGGTGTGTCATCATTTTCTATATTAGAGTTTTCCCATATATTTGATTTTAAATGGAAAAATATATTTGGATGTTGTAATTTATTCATAGCTTCATTGTGTTTATTATAATTTTCTACATATGAATGTAATGGTTTATATTTACTTTCATCTTCTGTATAGAGATTAAAATTCATTAAATCTGCAGGTTGTATCATTTCATTTTCACTTTGTTCATCATAATCTTTATTATCAGATGCAATTTCAAACAATTTTTTATGCTGTAAATTATTCTGTATAAAAGAAGATTAGTAGAAAAATTAAAATTAAATATAAAATATAAATATAAATATAAATAAAAAATTAAATATAATAATAATTAATAAAATATATATACTCAACTTTATGTAATGGTAATTTATAGGATAAAGTAGAAGCATTCAATAACAACCATATATAAAATATTTTTTGAAATAATATATTGATTAATGTTTGCATTAATATATTGTTATTTTCAAGACAAATAATATGAAAAATACTCATCTAAATGGAGAAGTGCAGTTTTCAAAAGCATTACACATATTTAGGGAAAACATATACAAACAGACAAAGATATTAAAAAATAAAAATATGTCTCCAAAAAACTTACAATCTTCCACATTAGAGGTATGTTATAAAAATTAATCAACATTGCTTATAAGAATAATATTTAATCTTATAATCATATTTTTATAGAATATAAGACTAGTTACACAAGAAAGTATAAAATCTTCTAGACAAACTAGTCATGTTGAGACATTTTTAGTCTCTCAAAAAAACAATTTACAAATGTCATGTATGGAAATTCTTAATAACAATGAAATATTAACAATATGTGCATTAGATTTGGCTTTAACTATGAGTCATATTTATCCAAT